ATTCACGAATCAATACGTTAACGAACGAAGATACTGATCTAAGCATTGTCGTGGAAGATTCCTTTTTACTGCGTTTCTGTCCGTGCGTTAAAATATTTTCCTTTTATGATGAAAGCCTAACACACTTATGTACGAAGATGCATAGAGTTGGATGAGAGTTTATCTAAAGTCCCCTTTCTAAAAAAGTTCGATTTGCAATCATTTTTGCGATACCTTTTTTAGGACAGAGAGACAGAAAGCCGAATTGGCCTTTTCATTTTACGTTTCTTCAGGTCTCGCCAAACCCAATCGTGAAATCGTCCTGCCAATCGTGAAATCACCAGTAATTAATGTAACAAGAAAAGTGCTCTAAAATGAGTTTGTCCATATCAAGTACTAGGTGCATTTCATTTTAAGGAATGTAACTACCTCCTTTATAGGTTCATTTTTTAATTCCAAAGTTTCTACTTTTGTCCCAGTACCTATCTATATAACGCATTGGATCTGGTATATATTTTACCAGATAAAATATTTTGTTTGAGTCATGTTTTAGAGAGCTCCGTTTATCTGGATAGAACCTTACATTCAGTACATGGATGACTGTTTACGAATCATTCCCCCATGACTCCCCAACTTTTACAATTTTATTCTTAATTGAATTAACCTTGAATATTACGATAAACCTTGTGCATAACGTTAGCGCACACAAAGGTATCTATTAGGTATCAATGCGCTCAATTATAGACAGGTATTACCACGGGAAGGGCAAGTTGTTGCTCATTTTTTCTTGCTAATTTTTTATCCATTCGCTAGTATTATTCTGCTAGTCTTATCGACATCAGGCGGCGGATTTTTAATTATCACTTTCTTTCCGACTTAATTAGTTTAATCAGTTAGCTTATGAGTAATGCCGAAAGGTGTTTTTGCGTAACTCACAATCATTGAGATTTCGATTAATTTATGTGCTAAAAGAAACTACATCTATATAAACATGGATTTAATCAAGAGGAATTGCGCATCGCACAAATCCTACGCTCATACGGTTCCTTTTTATTTAACTAAGGGGTACGCCTCCTGACCGCTTTACGGTCCAACCCCCCGTAGCGCGTCGCGCCTTTAGGCGTGTTTCGCGTTACTCTCATGACTTCATTTTATAGAGTATGATTCATTTTCGCATCGCTCTCTCTAGCATAAATACATCCATTTGCGGTTGCGTCGGATTTATGCAGCATTATGATTATGGTGGCTATAGTTTAAATTATTTTTACAGCTACAATTGATTTTGATCAAAATTCTTATGGGTGGGCATGGATAATTTTTGACATGATAACTGACAGAATTTATATTCTTACACTTTATTCTGCGCTTAATTTTTTGTTTTTGTTTTTTTTTTTTTCAGCCGGGCGGGGAGAGGATAGGGCCCGCGACAGATTTTTTAGTTTTTATTAATAATGCATTGAAATCAAGAGTAAAAGAGGGAAAAATAGGAGGGATGCTTTAATGATATTTAAATTTTAGTCTCCACCAATATGAAATAATAAAGTGCAGGTCGAAGTATGTTCCTATACATCTAATCTTTTCGAATTAAGATCACATTTACTGCAGGAACTTCTTGTTGAAGCGAGCACAAGTGGCATATCTCAGCGCCGGATCGAATGATTTCTACCAGACCTTACATTACGTCAGCCACTCCTGCAGAGAGTAGAAACCGAAACAGATCACATATATATATTCTCACAAGTTGAAATTATGCCAGTTATCAATGAATGAACTGCGTAGTTTTAGCCGTCAAGATCAAGTTGACAAATATTTCCCTGGGGCGCTCTGAGTGAATGAGCGGTGTCTTGCTGATGCTAATGTATGGTCTACACTGTTCGCATCTCTAAACAAGTACGCCAGGAGTTTTATTCGACCTGACATTTGCCTTTAGTCACACGTGCTTCAATTTATTGAAATTGAAACCAAATCGGAAGATACCTACCAGTAGGGAAAAATGTGACAGGAAGAGATAAATTGTCTCGGATTCGGCTTACTCTAAAAAAAGTCGCAAGTTACCCTCTCCCCCTCCCCCTCCCCTCGAAAATGATTTTATTAAGGCTAGTTTCGGAGGAAAATAACTTCTAATTTGTAACTTCTAATTTACGAGGTAAAAACTCATTTGGTGTTTTGAGGGTCAAATTCAAATAAATTTAAGAAATTTAGAAAAGCACGTTTTCTCATTTCCTCGTAGTCTCCAAAAGAGTCTAACATACACGGCGTCTATTGGGTTATGGGTAAAAACGGTCAATAAGGTTTGTACGGCCTTCTTAACTCAGACGATTAGAATTTCCGAATGACAAATATTTAAAAAAATGGCATTCGAACCCCATTAAATTATTTCTTTTATCGCTGATTATGCTGGATAAATGTGGAAAAATCCTATCGGGGACAAGACTGAAAAAGAATTACTGTTAAACCTTTCATTATTCTTAAGGAAAATGAACAGAATGCCTGAATTTTACCCAAAGTACCTTTCGAAGCTGTATAGAGGCACGCAATGTTACATACTCGATAACAATCACAGACATTTTTTTTTTTTTTTTTTTAAAAAACGATGTTGCTTAATTTTTTCATTTAAAACATCAAGTATGACGGGAGATTTACAACGGCGCAAATTTACGAGTATATACAGTATTTTTTTGTTTGTTTCATCGTTATTGATGCAAGGCGGCTCTACAGCGATCCAGTCCTCTAAAGGTGCTTTTCATCCCGAATGTTTTAAAGTTTTTTGATGACGAACCAGTAAACAAATAGTAAAAAAAGGAAAAAAAAACTTCGTCGAGTCATCTATTAGCATAAAAAAAAACATTGTGATTAAGTAAGCTTTGAACACCGTAAAGTCCATAGCAATTACAATAGAAAATAAGAGAAATGATAGAAGGAAAGGAAAAAACTAATGAAATAAAGAAAAATAAGCAAAGATGCCATGAAGTTCAGGGATTGTCGAATTTGTGTACACCTTTTTTAAACCGAGTTTCAATAATAAAATAATGTATTAGAAATGGGGAACATACCTTAGACTCTTAAAATTACAATCTATCGACAAGAGCCTTGAAGAGAGAGATGTCCCAAAGAATAAAACTGACTATCTAAAGGAGCCGCCAGTCACCTACTATGCGGATGCTGTGTAGTATGAGCCCTGACCAAATCACATCAGTTTGTTATTGGCACACATTCTTTTGATTCGCGGAAAGTAATCCATATCATTGGTTTTTATCTGCCATTCTCTCGCACAAACTGCGTATCAGCTAGTAAATTTTGGGAACAGAATCCGCCACTATCAACGTGTGATTTGAGTGAAAATAAGCTACACTCAGTCACAGTGATAGCCGACTATATTATCATGATGATTTGACCTCGATCAGATTGACATAATGAATCAGGTATCATGCACGAGGTTCTCTTTCTATCTCTGTGATTTCCCTCTTTATCCCCCCTGATGATATTCTTATTTCCTTTTCACGAATTAATGTGATTATGTAATGTTACTGTTTTCCCTGGGAAATTCCCACTCTCGTTTTTATTCAAAAATTCCTCCTGACGAAACCCCTTCAATCTATTCGAAAATGTTTTAATTATATAATTATTTTTTTGCAGGGCACTGACTTTCTCATCCAAGTTTTAGTATAAAATTCCATATTTGAAAGGATCTTAGCTCAATGGATGGGTGGTCGGTAATTTGTTAAAAATAGTAAGGTTAAAAAAGTTTGGTAATTTTTAAAGTTTTAGATTTACATTTTTGCCACGTACATCGTGAATGATCAGGAGTGTGCGAGGGGGAGAGGGTTCATTCTTTGTGAAAAAAATATGATGTTATATAGAGCATAAAAAACAACTTAAAAAAATATGATGTTTTGTATGGATGTATACAACTTTTTTTAGAATTTCACAATAATATTATCGTCATATAATTATTACAAACAATTTTTATTGGGCAGAAAGTCAATCATATGTAAAAACTAGGTCATTAAAAATAATTAAGCGACTACCTTGACCTCACAGTGTTTGAAGATCAACTAATCCCATAACTTTTGTGCGAGATTCAATTTACAAATCCTAAATTACAGGTTTTATTTGAATGTTTAATTTTTAATGTTTTACATAAACGGCCTAAATTGAAAAATGTGTATGGACGTTTCAAAACCAGCACTTGAAACTAGTCCTGAGACCTCATCAGTAGATCACACTCGTCGTTGAGTCCTACTTTTTTTTTTTTTTTTTTTTTTTTTTTTTTTTTTTTTTTTTTTCAATTAAACGAATTATTTATTATTTATTCGTTGAGTCTTGCTTAGCATCCCGCAAAATCTAAGACGGCATCGAAATGAGGCTTGAATATTTTATTTATTTATTTTTTGAAATAAAACATCAATTTGGTTTGCAGCGCTCCAAATATCAGAGTACATGTTAATTTCACGATGGAAGGGAAAAAATATGATCTCGCACAATTTTGTAATTTTTCTTTGCGCCACAAGAGATTTTCTCTATTCATGTAAATATAATGATTAACGGTATCCTACAAGGTTTAAAGAAAATACCAAATTCAAGACGATATGATAAACTAAAAAGTATTGTTACGTTGAATTTTTCTTCTACAATTATCTTATCTTGCAACTTAGGAAAATTTTATCAGTAAAAAAAAGACGGACAAAATTTCAGCATGTCAATAGTTGTATATTATTTTGATTGTACAACCGGTCTCTGTAATACTGTCTTATGGACCGAAATCAAAGCGTTAAATTGTGTTTTAGTCCGCCCAATGTCTTATTTAGAGGTTTTGCGCTCAATGGAAAAAAGAGCGTCATTTTGAAATTCGCGCACAAAATTGCGCGGGACCAATTGACCAATCGTTGGCATGGTTTTTGCTTGCCCGCAAAATTGCGCGGGACGGCATTGGCCAATCAGCGGCGGGGCGTTTCCTGGTTTCTGGTACTCACCGGGGTGAGAAGTTTGATGAGTGATGGGTTTTCGTCACACACGTGCTACAAAATTTAGGTTAGGGTTTCAGAATTTTAATTTTGATTGTTTACTCACTCTCACAGTGAGAAAAAATGTCGTATTTTCCATTTTAAATAGTCACCTTTTGCACTTAAGCTTTCATCATGGGTTTAACAAAACAGTACTTACGTTTTGTGCCAAGTGGTGTGTGTAATATCATTGCAAGTTCCACATGCAACATTTGTTTTGTCGTTGTGAACGGCCAAGAAGGAAGATTTGTCGCTGTAGGTGCTGCTGAAGATGTCGTGATATGGGACTTAAGGCTTTCTGAAAAGGTAAAGAATGGAATCAATGTATTGTATCTTCCACAGTCTTTTAAGTGTCATTTGTTTCTCACTTGACATCTCCAGTCACGCAGGACCAGTAAGTGGCGCTAGAGGAAAAACAGACGAAAATTGAGCGGAGATAGTGTTGCCTAGTTCAAATACCATACTGTACCATCCTCGGTCTCCAAGTTGCTTATCTGTTGACATCAATTCCAAGTAATTTGGTCTCCCGCGCTTTGATTGCCTATTCATCTTCGCTCTCTAGACTCCTTTGACAGCAATGAACTGACATGTAGTTTAGGGAAGATATATCAATAATTGGCTTTAATTGGATTGCATTCAGTCCTCAATTCATTTTTAACTCTAAATATTTTCTTCCATTTTCTCAGACTCAGCAATATACTCGGGACTCCAAGTTCTTAGCGACATACATTGCCTCAAGTGAGCATTACCTTGCCGTTGGCTACTCAGATGGGACAGTCAACACTTTTGACTTGAGGTCAGGAAATTTGTTGCAAGTGTTCCCTGGACATCGATCACCCATCAGTTCTTTGGCATTCGATCCAAGAAATCTCCGTCTTGCATCCGGAGCCAAGGTAAGGGCAGAGAATATTCTTTACAGGTTTGATTAGTAGTGACCATGTGTTTATGAAAATCTACTCATTTAAAATTGTTGTAAAGAAAAAAGTCAAACTTTAGTGTCACCCACTCACAGTAGAATCAGTTCAAAGCAACAGATGGGTCCTAATTGAAATCATTTGCTATTGTATATAATTTTTTTCAATGAAGTAGCCTCCATTACAGAGGGGAAATCTATATTACTTACCGCAACATAGCTCCGCTTAAGAAGAGATACGAAAGATACACCGTTAGGGGCAATAGTTGTCTTAACTGTCTGGAAGGTAATTGCAGACGTATTTGAGTCTAATATTACCCATAGACGGATTATTAGAGCAGGATAGCTTCCTGACTCATGCCTCTCAGTTCTGAGAAGCCACAATAGCCAGGCAAAGATTGGGCAAGTGATCATATTAGACAAGCATGAGCGTACGTCATCCAGAGCGCAAATCATCCAAACACTTCCAGAGTATTAGCCGGTGGTCACTAGTAGTGACCTATCTCTAATAAATTTTTTAAAAGGGAAGTGAACTTATTACCTTATACGAAGTCTATTCAGTAGATAATTTAGGTCCAGGTAAACAAATAATAGAAATCATTAAGGGCAATGACAGTTACCTGGTACATTTCATTAATGCAAAGTTTTTTTCCCTTTCTGGCATATCTGCCCTGAACAAAACCCTGTCGACAACAGCCCTGATAAGTTGTGATGTGCCTACGTGTCATTGTACAGAAAAGTATGCGCATAGAAATTTATACTTGATTATCTAGATTTAATACTTGACCAAGTGATTGTTGCAAAGTAGTCTCTAAAGAATTAGATGGTGTCTAATTACACCTACCTAACAAAATTACATTAAACTGTGGAGTTGTAATGGAAACACATGCATCTAAAAATTCGATTGAGCAATGTATGTTTCACAAACTTATAATGTGAACTCTTTTTCTTTCAAGGACACAGAAATTGTTGTCTGGGACTTGGTGGCTGAAAGTGGTATTCAACGACTCAGTGGTCACAAAGGAGTTATAACGCAACTTAAGTTTATGGATTCTCGCAATATTCTAGTATCAGCATCAAAGGATACTTTCATTAAATTTTGGGATTTAGATACCAACTATTGTTTCAAAACTCTTGCAGGTCATGTCACTGAGGTAAGTTCCAATTTCATTCTTAAGGTTCATACTTTTGCAAGATTCTGTCTGAAAATGATTTGGATCTACTTACCTGATTAGTATTTATGCACTTTAAAGTGGATGGAATGTTTTAAATATCGGAAGTTACGGAAATTAAGTTTCTATTTTGAAAAAATCTCAGGGTCAGTAGTGAATTTTGCCATGCAACTCTGCACATCCAAATTCATTAAAAAACTTTACCTACATCTGATACTTTCAAAGAAATTCTAATTTTTCCCCACCCGTTTGGTGTATACATTCTAATAACTGAGCTGTATTTTTATGCTCTTCCTCTCGATAATAATTCACTTAACCCACCAACATTTTTTCTTCAACTGCATTTTCAGTAAAAATCGGAAAATCAAAATGTTACAATCATCATTTTATAGGATTGACTACGCTTTAAAAGGTATTATATGTGACTATTATCCTATATACTTAATGCCTAACTGTTGGAGGGAACGCAAGCCAATTCCGACATGTACTATTGTTCGAGCATAGAGGTGTTGATCGGAGATTTCAGGTATTGAGCTATCAGCTGGTTTAAGTGAAAGGCCTTTTTGAAGATGATCTTTGTAAGAATAAAAGATCACTTTTCAACTTTCAGATTGTGGCCACCGTTTGTCTTTAAATTGTTTGAGAAGAAAATTGTGATTTTGATGTCTCAAAGACTTACATATGTCTTTTTCTAAACAGTCAATCATCATATATATGTATATTTTTTTACCAGGTTTGGAGCTTAAATATCCTCCTTAATGACTCCTATGTGATTGCTGGCAGTTCAGATAGTGAATTGCGAGTTTGGAAAATCTTGGAGACAACAGACAGTGACATTTCTAAAATAGAAGAAAGATTGAACAATTTACTGGTAGGAGAAGACACATCAGATGTAGCGGTAAGTATTGTTTTTATTATTTGCTTTGATTTTCATTTTATCTCCTGTGTTTGTACGTACTTCCTCATCTTCTCCTTCTGATTCTCTTCTTAAATGGCACCATAGCCTCTCATGGGCTATGACCTCAAAATAGTTTTTCTCCTTTTTGCTTTATATTTAATTTAATCTCTCCATCCTCTCACTTCCATTGCTTTCAAGAGCTTCTCAACACTTTTGGTCCATCTCAAGTGAATGGCTTATTTTAAAAATTGGTAAAATTTTTTTGCCACAGTAAATTTTATCCATAGTTTACTTATCAAAGAATGTATCTCTTGTGACTTTCTGTCTGTGACTCAGGGGCCTTATTAATTCTGGTTTTTCAAACAAGGTGGAATGAAGAAAGGTGGAAATCTATAAAACATTGCAATTGAGTTAATGGAGTTACATGTTTTTATTTCTGTGTCTATGTATTACAGAGCTTTATTTTTTATCTTTTCTTGCAAGTTATTCTTAAATATTTTCTCTTGTCAACCTGTTTTTTTGTTTTAAAATGGAGTTAAATCACCCCATCTTTGCTCTTTTACTACCTGAAACGTTAATTTTCCTCTTAATTTTTCAGTGCCCTATTCGATGTGAAAAGGCAGGCTCAATTCTCTGTAAACGAAGAGGTAGAGTTGTTTCCATGGTGTCAGATCCAACTAGGTCAATCTTAGCATGTCATGGTGATGACAAAATTGTGGAGTTATTTCAATTTGTCTCTGATGAAGTAACAGATTCAAGGTTCCAGAAAAGGCTAAAGAAGCAGCGGAAAAAATCTATTAAGTAAGTTTTTAAATGACGTTTTTTGTATTCGTGAACACATTTTAGTATCATTACATTTTTCTTAAATTAAATAATAATTCTCTAATTTATGTTCATCTATTCTGTACATTACTCCAAAAAATGTTGTAATAAGATGAATTTATACATGTTTTTTCTTATTTACTCGAACTGCTCTGCTTTTGTGTTTATCTATACTATAAGCTCCAAGACCTCCTAATTTTGCGAAACTGGTAACGCTTAGCTCCAGCGTTCTACCGGGCCGATTTTCATGATTTTTGCGGCTATCGACGGGCAATCGTCTCTAGATAAGCCAACTCTTTTCAGATTTTCGAAATATGGCCCAGGTTTTTTTATATTACGTGGTAAAGTTGCGAATTCTGCCATTTAAACAATGTAAATTTATACTTTTTGTCATAGTTCGTTTGAGCGTTCTACCGGGCCGATTTCCATGATTTTTGCGTAAATCGACAGGTAATAGGCCCTAGATGAGCCCGCTGTAATCAGATTTTGGAAAAAGGACCCAGGTTTTTTTAAAATCACGTTATAAAAGTGAGTTAGTTTACAGAATGCTCCGGTACTGCTACCGCTATGCGCGGGAGGATGTGCAGTGGTCGAGGAGGTTGCGCAGTAGTTGTGTAGCCTACGCATCAGCTCTACACTTATCTATACAAGATTCGAACCCAAGACCTCGTGTCGAGCGGTGGCCGAGTCGTCTAAGACGTCGAATGCGTCCACATTGTACTCGGTGTGGGTTCGATCCCCGACTCACGAAGTCTTCATTGTTACCTGACAATCAGTATTCACTGTTTTACTGCAATATTTCATCAAGCAGTCATTCCCAAACGCGTCCTTTTAATTTTAAAGTAATTTTAAGTAAAGTTTAAAATTAAAGTATACCTCATTTCGTAATTTTTTAGGGGAAAAATAAAACTAACACTGATAGGAGGGTAAAAATAGGGCCGCGAAGCGGCCCATTGAAGGCGCGGAGCGCCTTCAGGGGGTTGGGCCGCGTAGCGGCCAGGGGGCGTAGCCCCCTAGTATTTTTTAACCCTTCTTCAGATTTCAGTCCCCTCATCTCTTTCTCCATTTTTTCTAATGAATCAAGGTAGCATTAAAAGTGTTTCAAGTCTGCGCTGGGGACCACTCTTCTATATCTAAGCGGACAAAACTCGTATGACCTCTGAAGGGAGGTCTAAAGCCTGGACCGAAAATTTGTATAACAAAAAGCAGTTTGAGATGGTGATGAGTTTATTAAAATCATTCAAACATTTTTGAAGAACCAAACAGTTTTAAATTATGCATGTACACATTTTCTGCACAACTGTTTTATTTATTTTGTATGAAATTTTTTCAGCTCTGAAGAGATGTCTGAACTAGACAATGAAACAAGTCCAGGCTTGCGAGATAGAGTAGTAAGACTGGCTATCATAAAGACTGACCATAAAATCAAATCAGTGGATTTGATTATGGGTAGAGGTGAAGAAATTCGAGTATGTATCAGTATTAATGCTTCTTTTAAACAAGTTGTTAGGATTAAAATAAATTTCATTTTAAGTTTTATTTTTGGTGTAAATAAAAACCTGGAACCTCTCCAAAAGTCTTTTTTTCAGTTGAACTAATGAGAGAAATAATTAAAGCCAGTCATTTTCATAAATTATTTTATTTTATTTTCATTTATCATAAATTTTAAGTAATTTTTTCCAAGGAAAAGTCGCATTTCTTTAAAATGAAGTTTCAAATTCACTGTCACTTTTTGTAATAAAACGGCTAAGATTATCAACTTTTAACTGATTGCACTTGATTTAATTCCAATAAAACGGATTTTTCCAAGCATTGTAATTGCCACTTAAATTAGCAAAAAAAATCTTGATTTTATCTGTATTCCACGTCATTTTTGTGCATAATATTGCTAAGAATTAGCATTAACGAAATAGTCTTCTAATTGAGGTACTTATCGATTTTTGGTTCTGATAATGTTGCTTTAACTGCAGTCAATGAAGTTGCAACTACCTACTAATCGAATTTCGAACCAAATTTGCAGCACACCTGAAAAAAATTGGAGCGTAATGTATGTATGTATGTGTGTGTGTTCTACTGGCACTCCTATACTTGCTTTCAAACTCTGTGTATTCCATTATTAAGGATCTTTCATCAATCTTTGTTTCATTTCTTTAACAGGTTGCAGTATTATTAAACAACAACTCTGTAGAATTGCACTCGCTAACTGTTTCAAATACCAAAGAGTCACAGTTGATACGAAAACTGACAGCACAAGGCCATCACTCAGAAGTCCGTGCTGTTGCATTTAGTTCTGATAACTTAGCATTTGTTTCTGGAGCTGGCTCCGATGTTAAAGTTTGGAATAGGTAAGAGATTGAGATGTTGAACTTTTCAGTGAAATGGGGCATGGAGGCAAATCTCTCTCAAACATTAAAAATAATTGACTTTACTATTATTCAAAGGGATATAAAAGAAGGTGGTGGCAGTTTCCAATTTTTTTGATGTAGATGAGTACAATATATGATATCAATATTCTCACAATATCAGAAATTCACAGTATGAAAAATGTAACAAAATGTCTGTTACGGAGAGATTGTTACCACATAGTGTAATTTTTTTCCATGTCTGAGTATTAAACTCTTTATCGTGAATTTGCGAATACAGTAAAACTTTGAAATAAGGTATATCGATTTAACGAATTCTTCAATTTAACGAATTACTTTCGCGGTCCCTAAAAAATCCCTATCTTTTCAATGTAAATTAAATTCTACTTAACGGATTTTGATTTAACGAATATTCAGTTTAACAAAGGAAATCTTTGGTCTGAGTACGACCTTTACCATGTAAATCGAACTGAATTTCACAAATTCGCAGAAATTTTAGAGCGCCCGACAACAATGCTGGGAAAAGCATGTTTATTTTGCCTGCCTAGTGTCTGTTGGAGTTGGTCTAAGGGGTTTTCGTGTCCAAAAATTGGGTTTTTCGTGGGTTTCGATGTTTTATCGATGTGGGTTCAATTGTGGGTTTTATCGCCAGTCCCCAGAAATCCGTGAAATCGAAGTTTTACTGTTGGTGTCTCTTGACCCAAGTGGATCCACTTTTGGTTCAAGACTTGGTCATCCTTATGGTAACGAGTTTCTAGCGTGTTCTCTCATACTGAATTCTTAAAATTTCCAAATTGTTTCAGGGCCTCCTTGACTAGTCTGCGAACTGTGCCAACAGGATATGTGTTAAGTCTTTGTTTTGCACCCGGTGACCGTCATGTTCTTGCTGGCCTGAAGGATGGAAAGTTACTAATCATTGATATTGCATCAGCTGATGTATTAGAAGAAATTGAAGCACACACAGCGGACTTGAACTGTGTAACTTTACTGCCTGACTTGGTAATTCTAGAAAGTTGAATTTACTCAGATTTTTTTTTGTTGCCAACTGTATTTAAAATTGTCTAAAAATGTCGAATGTCAAATGTTGAAATTAGACTTATTATGTAGGTACTTCAGAGAAGTTTACTGTTGTTACAAAGTTTACTAAAACTTCAAAATTCTAAATTAAGCTTAACATTTAAGAGTTCTCAAATACAGCCAAGCCTCTCGAAAATCAACTCAACGCTTGTTGGTTGATTTGCTTAATTTTGTCTTACGGATCACCAGTCTCTCGCTGAAATTTAGAATCTTTAAAAAGCTCCTTTCCTGTGATGAAAAATTTGGTTGATTTTCAAAGGTAAATTTTATGTACTGTAGTAAGAGGATTCTAAATGAAAGTAGATAATTCCTAATAAATACTATGCAGTCAAAATAGGATTTAAAAATAAAGCATAAACATTCGCCACCACTGACGAGTATTAGTCAGTGCTGCCCTGGTGCAAATTTCTATAGCTGCGTTGGTTTGCACACACACACATAAATTCACAAGTATGAAAGAGTGTAATAGTATAATATAATGTATAAGAGAGTTTTTTTTTTATTTTTAAAATGTATCACTTACATCCTTTTGTGCTCATTAGCTCTGATACAGTACCATGTTCATTTTTTTATTTCTTTTTTATACTCATCTCTCAATGGTTTCTTGTCATATAACAGACTGGTTGTATAACTGGCGGTGGAGACAAAACTGTGAAAGTATGGCAGTTTGAATTGATTCCTGCGCGGGCGGATGATTCTGATCCGGAAAACGTTAGATCAAAAGCTAAAGTGTTGTCCTTACTGCATTTGAGAACATTGAAGTTGGAGGAAACTGTTCTGTCCCTGAGAGCAAGTCCAGATAGTAAATTATTAGCTGTTGGTCTTTTAGACAGCACTGTTAAAATATTTTTCCTGGATACATTCAAGGTATGTATCTATTAGTTTCTCTGAACCTTCTTTCTTCCTTTTTTTCCATTCAGGTAATAATTTTCCCATTGAATTAAGTTTGTATTCAGATCGAAAATGAAATTACATTCACACTTGAGAGGTAAGAATAGAGATTTTGAAAAGTCACCAAAAATAACCTCCAGGAGAGTTTGAGAATTGAAGAAGAGCAAGTTATGGAGATGAAGCTGTCGTTCAAGCTGTTAATAGCTTTATTATGTTTCTTATTTCTATGTAACTTCTTTTTTGGCTTCTATTTCTCCTTATTTTGGAATAGATCCTGTCATATAGTTAACCTAGATGGTTTTATAGCTGTAGGTGTTTTTGTTTTTATTATCTTTGTATTTTGTCAAAAGGAAAGCATAATGTTGATCAAGGGTAGGCTACCTATTTCATTTTATATTTTTTTTCTTTATCTATTTCATTATGTGCTGTAATTGCATAAATGGAAACTTGGAAAACTATATGCAGAAGAAGTACTTAAAGCTTGTGGATAAAGAAGCAAAATCTATAAAATATTAAAATAGTTCTTGCTTTTTTCCACCGCTGTTCAACGTTTTTTTGTTTTTTTGCAAACTTGTCGGAAAAAGTGAACGATACATCTGAGTCATGCATTATTTAAGATTTCTTTTTGGAGAGGTCCATATTTCAAAACACAGAAGTAATAGTGTATGCTCTATCAACTCTATTATTTACTTCTTTATAGTATCTGAAACTTTGCTTTGAAATTTTTTTATGGTTTTCGTGTTTTCAGTTTTTCCTGAAATTGTATGGTCACAAACTACCCATATCTTGCCTGGATATCTGCGATGATTCAACCCTGATAGTGACCGGTAGTGGAGACCGAAATATTAAAATTTGGGGTCTAGATTTTGGTGATTGCCATAAATCAATTTTTGCCCATGAGGACACTGTTACAAGCGTAGTATTTGTACCTAACACTCACCAGTTTTTCACATCTGGTAAAGATGGGTTTATAAAGCAATGGGATGCAGATAATTTTGAACGAATCATCACTCTACAGGTAATTATTCTATGAGATTGAACGTTGGTTTCTTTAGGGTGAGTGTATTAAGAAAAGTGGTATTTCAGTGCAATTGCAATGTGCAGTTTGAGGTCTCATACTGATGAAAAAAAAGTGCAAAAATTAGGGTAGGCATAAAGAAACTTCAAGTTTCTTGCTTGTATACTGTAAGCATATAGTGTTCTGCCAATATGATGTAAGAATCTTTCGAGGAAGTATACACAGCAATTATGTGGTGTTAACTGAGTGGACTCTAAGCTGCGACAAAGGGGTCTTGTTTTGAGTTATCAGTATGTCGGTGCAGATCCAGGAAACTCACCGAATGAATATAGTGGGATTGCAGTAGTTTAAAGGTAAAAGCTGCTGCTGTCACTTTTCCTCTTTGACACGCATGTTTGCAGTCATGAGTGATTCTGTTCAAATGTCTTCTGCAAAGCAAGCGTCATTTCTCTGTGAGGATGGGGAAGATTTTACCACAGTCATTGTTTTTCTTGCGCCAAAACCATAAAAAATACCTATCTTTCCTGTCCTTAACTGCTTATTGTTGTGAGAATAGTTGCTTTTTTCCACCGTCATTGATTTTTGTAGTTGAATTTCATGAGTAGGGGTATTATTTTTCCCTTTTCAGGCCATTTTTGAGAATTCACAATTCATAAATCTGTGATAATTTTGAACTGACTTATATGAAGGGTCCTCTTCAAATTGCTCTTGTTCATTCGCACTGTCAAGTTTCTCACTTTTTTATTTATTTATTTAAAGGGTCATCATGGTGAAGCATGGAATCTAGCAATCAGTCCAAACGGACAGTACCTCGTTAGCTGTGGTCAAGACAGAGTTATCAGACTTCATGAAATTACAGAGGAGCCGCTGGTATTAGAGGATGAACGTGAAACTGAGAGAGAGCAAGAAGAAGAGGCAACTTTGGCATCTGGTCAAGATACAGTTGTGGCTGGTGGAGCAGCTCTCAATTTACCATCAAAGAAAACAGTCGCTGCTGAAAAGGCTGTAAGAATTTTTTTGCAGCATTCGTATTCTAATTGTTCAAAAATAATAATATTTAAGATAAGCACAGCATATAGTCAAATGTCATTTTGAATGAAGAAAAGTTACCATGATTAAAAGCAGAATCAGATGCTTGTATCTGCTAGCATCCGTTATGAACAAATAATTTAAACATTTCTTTGGATGTATTTTACGGAGTACAACGTCTCTACTTTGACTCTACAAAAAATAACAAAGCATTATATGTATTAAAAATTAGTGACAATACTCACCCATCTTGTTGAATTGAAAAGAAAATAAAAAACGAAGGATATAAATAAATAAATAAATGAACATAAATAGCTACATCAAATGAGAGAATTTATTTTGTTGTAAGGAAGGCAACCAACGAAGCTAGAATTTGAAAAAAAGAAGATATTGTGCTATTAGTGTATTTGAAGAGTTGTCTCTATAAAAGGCCCACAAGCTTACGAACCATTCTCCCAGGAACTTGAAAAATGAATTCTTTGTATTCGGCTGTCTATGTATACAAAGTTTTAGACCAATTCATCAAGTTTCGGATCCAGGAGACCATTTTTTCAAAAACAGGTTTATTAGCTCCAAAGTATCTCTAGAAGAAGGGTGTAGGTCGAGGGCACTCCACAGGGTAGGTGGGCAATGTTCACTGAACATCTTGGACAGTTCTTAGAGTAAAAACTTAGGAATTTTGAAAGTAATTTAGCGTTGTTTTCTTAGAGTACGCTCTACTGAATGGTTCAGACTATAGAAACGTACCTTTAGATTCAAAAACGTAGGTCATATTTTGTACCCAAGACCTTTTCTGCTTGGCTGCTACTTTAGAAGCATGCAATTCTGTTGAAAAATGCGGTTTTCATGCCTCTTAATATTACTCATACTGTGCGCCCTAACATGAAAGCACATACAAAATTAGGACTGCTGGTATATTTCTGGCATGAGGGCCCATAACCAATAATTTTTTAAAAATTCCACTTTTCAATGACAACTGAGTTTTACCCATGGCTGAATTTCATTTCAGTGTATACGTATACTCTAAATCCAAATGACGAGACCCCATTAAAAGTTACTCACAGGGATCCAGAAACAATAGTGAAAATCTCAATATTGTTTATTTTCAAAACGTAAATCATTGACATAGACTCTTTTTTCTGAAAGCTGTTCAACTGCCTAAGTTTTCTTCCAGTATCTATGTAGATGGGTTTTTTTACATACCTTAAAAATTTGTTTTCTTGTTATTTTCAGGCGGAATTGATTCTTGAGTGTTTGACAGAGAGTGAAAAATATCGTTTGGCTGCTGAAGAAAATAGACTAGAAGGCAAAAAACCGCCTCCTCTCCCTGCCATTATGCGAGCATATCAAGTTACATGTTTAGAGGAGTATCTTCTGGAAATGTTAGCAAGAGCCAGAGCCAGGTAAACATAAAAAATTATGAAAAAATAAAAAAAATAAATAAATAAATTGTTAATTTTAGATTGAAGAAAAGGTTTGCTGCGCCTGCTTCTATGTCTGTATGTGTTTACATCAGGATTTGATTTTTGCTTTTCTAAATTGCTGTTTTTGTCAATCAAATTGACCTTCTCAAATGAAAGAGTAAAATTAAATCACATTCAGTGCTCAAGTCTGTATATAACTCCTGATGTGGTATTGTGGAAATAAACTTGATAGATTTCAACTATATAATTATGCAGTTAAAGGCGTATTCATAGCATTTTTGTGGGTGTGCCAGGTTGCAAAAATTTTGAGGGTTTTTAATTCTGTCAAACACTGTATGTATCCATCCTCCTTCCTTCCTTTATCAATGAAATCTGGGAGGTATTTCTTGCAAATGTTAGTCTTATCCCTTTGGATGCAAATGAAGGATGATTTTAAGTTAAAATTAAGCTTGAGAGAACATGTAAACCGGCTCCTGTTTTTATTTATTTTTTAAGAGACAAATTTCAAAGTGTGATTGAAATTAACCGTAAAAAAGTGTACACTGAAACTGAGGCCATTGGATTTTTTTAAGAGAAAAAAACATCGTTCTTTCAGAAAAAAGTCGTTTTTCCTCCAAAATGCATTTGATTCTGTGACAGGCCGATTAAGAGCTTTGCTGCAAATTATTTGTTCTGCTTTGGTTCTCCTTAGCCTACTTCTGCACATCAACAGTAAAACTACCAGACCACATATCTTGTTTGCAACTTTGTAGACTTCCTATCATACTTTATTTTTTAAATGGTAAACCATTCAAGGTCAGTTCTTGAAACTTCCGTGATTTCTCTTCTCTGTGCGAAGATAATTCTGTGAAAGCTTCAAGGAATGATATTGATTTTTTTCCCTTTCAAAAAAGAAAATGGAAGAGGAGAATTCTTAACACCACTAACAAGATACAAGGTCTGGTAGTTTCATTGTCTACATGCTATGTATTTGGTTAAATTTTGTCTTTTTAGATCACAAGCTCTCATTCCCATTTCGCTCACTTTTCCTACTGTATATATCTTTGGAGGTAGAAAATGGTCAAGTTGAGAATTGAATGCATTAAGTCTTGCTATGAGAAATGAAAATATATTTTAATGGCTGTGCAGTATACTTTTGTAAGTAGCACAAATCTCTTTTCTGCATCAGCTTCCTGAAATTCAATTTTTCAACAATGTTGATCAACATTTTTGTTACCTTGATTTGTCTAGTTGCAGGATTTACAAGTCAGCTTTTTTTCCTTTCATTTCAAATAACCATGTTTCTTTTTTTGTAATTACAGTGAATTAGAAGAATGTCTTATACTTTTACCGTTTTCATCAGTTTGTCAACTCCTAGAACTTCTGGTTCCTCTTCTCAAAACACCACACCATCGGACTGAGCTAGTTGTTCGCACTCTAATCTTTCTGGTCAAAGTTCATCATGGACCAATCACCAGCGCATATACAATTCTTCCCACCCTTAGAAAACTTACTCAGCTAGCTCGAGATAGGATAAAAGAATTGAAGGTAAGTTTTTCAAACAAACCAGAATTCAGTTTTATTGTTGCGTCATATGTTCATTTTGGTCTTTTCCCTCATTCTATTCCATTTTTCATATTTATCTATTTTTTAAAACTTAGGGTTTACAGAATATTTGTTGCAACCATTGTATCTGCTAGCAAGTCCTTGGAATCTTCTATCTTGTCCACTCAGAAATCTCAGATTTCTTCCTCAGAATTGAGCCATTTGTCTCCGTAGTTCATTTTGTAAAAACACCGCAGGGACAAAGTTTGAGAGATGAAATAGAACAGAAATTCAAAATATGTCAATTACTATCAACAAGACAGACATAGTATCTTAAAGATAGTGAAAATTATTTGTTGATGTCCACAACTCTTTCGGGAGAAATAAGTAAATCTTGTCTTAATCGAAAATTGCAATCAGAGTAAACTTCATAATGGAAAGTTATAGTGGCAGCTGCATTTGCAAGTCAAATAAAGGACTCAAACTTTTTTGTGTCTCAATTGCCTTGAGGTACAACACTCAAGGCGAACTAGTCCGCATTGCAAATCTGCGACCAAAGGCAGCAAAACAACTTGTCAAAAAAAAATTCAGCTAGATTTGCTTTGACAGATTGTCTTGCCATCATTTGTCACCAACTTGCATGGCAGACTTGTGCGCCTTAAGTGCGAAATATTAAGATTTACATTTTCACTTTCCTTTTGTTTGGTCCCAAGAAGCTTAATATTTTCATTCATCTTTTCATAATTTTTATGCCAATCCCAGTAAAGTTATTACTACAGCATCAGTAGGTACATCTCCAATAAGTATTTAATACAATTTTCCCAAAATGAAAGATTGTGGCTCAATAAAGACAATTGAAACAGTCACAACTGACTTTTAAAAATTCAGTCAAGGAATTTAAAATAGCAATCTAAAATTATGAAAAGTCTTTTGTCCGATATAAATGTAAAAATGGTTACATTTCAATGCTTTGCTACAAACTTTTCATTTTTGTTGCGTCTTTGGTGTATTCTCTCGTCTTGAATACTAAATTCCTCCTTCCTTTTCTTGTAGGATCTAAATGGAACTAATCTCTATGGACTCTTATTCCTTCAACGTAAAATTGAAAGGGATGAAGGCATCGACATATTTACAGAAGCTGTCAAGGACAGACGTGAGAAGGATCGACGGAAAAGAAAAAGAGAAAAGGTTGCCAAAGCAGCCATCATTGCTTTATAGGATGTTTGGAAGTCTAAATGAAACTTTACTGATCTTTTGATTTTAAAAATTGAAGTATGAATTGTTTTAGTTTATCATGTTAACAAGTATCAACTGTCCAAACAAAGGACGGACAATGAAGTACCTGTTACCGGTAGTGTATGAATTTTTATGTAAATAAAACTCATTTTTATTTTTTAACAAATTTCTGTTCTTTTGTATCTATTAATCAACATTTAAGTTCACGTCTCCAAAACAAATTTCTGGAATAAGACATTGGGGGGGGGGGGGGGTCCAGCCCAATTGATGTAAAGCTTAGTAGGCCAAAGTATCATGTGGTGTTCTCATTCATGACAGAACAGAGTTGGAGAGCCTCTTCAGAGAGCCTGTGCCTATGATACAACTGGCTCCTGATTTTAGATACCTTGGAGTTGTAGTATGCAAAATCCATTTTGTAAGTTAATTGTTCATATTTTAAAAATATTGCATGAAGTGAAATACCCCCTTATTTCTATTGCAACGTTTCATATCTTTTCTTTTATTTTACCCCAAAAAGAAAATTAGCTGACACATTCTAATGAAACCTTGGCTGACTTTTCGTTGCTATGAAAAGTATGAAAATAAATTTTTAGTATTTCTGTGGTGAAATTGAGGTACTCTTACATCATTTGGTAGATAATGGATGATTTTAAACGATCAATGAAGTGAGCTCCAAATATCAGAGAGATAGACAATTTGTAATGTGAAGGATATTGCGACTTGTTTCGGTTTATTTTAATACATTTTAATTAAATGAGCCCCTTCAATCAGTAGATTGGCAACATATACAGCACTTTGATAAAATAGCAACAGTTATATTTTGTACTCGCAATTCTTTCGCAGCTTCCACGGAAAGTGATAATGCAGTGATTTGCCAAAGTATCTGCTTTTTATACACACTTGAGCGGTTACGGTTTAATTTTGCAGAAGCAAATTCCAATAAATGCATTGGAACTTTTCAAATATTCCAGACTCATTTTGGCATTATTTCTTCTCTCTGGCAATGAAGTTCCACTTCTGGGGTCTTCCATGTCGTGGCATTTGTCACTTCATTTTTGCTAGTCTCTGGTTGATTGTGATGCTAATTTGCTCCACCTCTATTTGACATTTCGGGAATATATTTTTCGTAATCCGGAGAGGACTCACTGAAAGTTTTACAGTGTTGTGTTGTTAAGTTTTCTGTTAAAAAAACTACGACATGAGCAGTCACTGTTTGAGGCATCTAGCCTAATTCTGGCTCTAGTTGATGCAATGAAGCAGAGAATGCTTAATTTTGGACATCACAAAGATACTCCAGCGTCAATCTCAACGGGGAACCGTGCTGCGGGGCTGAAGAAAACCGGCGTATGTACATCTGAATGTTACCAAATATCCTCCATCAAAATATTTCATTTCGAAGAAAATTATGAATGTTTTTCCTCGAAAATTTCAAACATCATCGATCAAATTGCCCACAAAATACTCTGAAAAATTAGAAGAAAAAAATGGACATGTTTCCGAGAAAATTTGTATTTTATGGAGGAGAATTTAGTAACATTCAAAAGCTCATACGGCGTTTTTCCTTGGCACGGCAGAGTTGATTAGCCCCGCTGCCGTGCTAAGGAAAAACGCCGTATGTACATTCGAGAGTTGCCAAATTTCCCCGGATACGACATGTATTTATGAGGAAAGTTGTGTACATTTTTCCTCGAAAATTTCAGATATTTTAGATTGAATTGCGGACCAAATCGTCTGAAAACTTGGCCGGAAAATATCCTCAATGTCCCCAGTAAATTCGTTTATTATTCAAGGAAATAAGTCAACGTCTGAAGGCTCATACGTCGTTTTTCCTCAGTACGGCAGCGCAATGGTGGGCCCCGGGAGCTATTGCGGCGCTCCACTGGACCTCTTTCAATCCAAAGGAACTATACATATTGTGACATGAGCCCTTAAACGTATGTGTTCTTATGAGTCTCCGGGCTCATGTCCTAATGGATATAGTTCTTTTTGATTTCAATTCGTCTAGTGCAGCGCCGCAAGAGCTCCCGGGGCTCATCACGCAACGCGCTGCCGCACTAAGGAAAAACGCCATTGTGAAGTGAGCCCTTACACGTATGTGTTCTTATGAATCTCCGGGCTCATGTCACAACGGATATACTGCCGTGCTAAGGAAGAACGCCGTATGAACATTCCAGAGTTGCCACATTTCCCTTGATAAAACACGAATTTTTGACAACATTCATGCATATTTGTCCTTCGAATTTTCAGGTATTTTAGATTAAATTGCGCACAGAACTGTCCGAAAATGTTGGAAAATAATTTTCATAATTTTCCCCAGTAAATTCGGTTTTTATCGGAGGAAACTTGGCAACGTCTGAAGGCTCATACGGCGTTCTTCCTTAGCACGGCAGTATAGTTCCCCGTGATTCAAATTCGTCCCACTGTGTTCCGCGGCGAGTCGCGACGGGGCGCTGGCGCTAGAGGAGAAAGTGAGGCTCGGCTCACGGTTGTGCGAAGGTCAGGAGCCTCGCGAGTGGCACTCGAATTCTGTCTGAAAATCGCAGCGAAGCAGCGCAGCGCCCGCACCCCGAACACACCATGAAGGTAAGCCACCATTTCTCTGATTATCTCCGAACCCTGCCAACGTTTTTCCCTGGCTCCGTGGAAATTCGCGGAGGCGTCAGGCCTCGCCGTTTCACTTTTCCACGCCAACTGCCTTCTGCGTTGCGAAGTTGCTCGGGCCCCCCGCGCCGCGCGCCGCGACGCGAGTCGGTCGGTGGGCTACGTCGCACACTGGATCGAGTCAATAGGAGAGCACTGGAAAAAAAAAATAAAAAAAATAAAAATAAAAAAACACATTGGATTTAGAGTCCAGACTCTTGAAAACATTGACAAGAAAAAATGCTCTTGATTCAATCGGACTTTTGCTTGAATCAAAACGAAATCCGCTTAGATGAAGAGGCTTGGTTCTTGATTAAAGCTAGATTCTGATTGAATCAAGAGTACTTTTTCTTGTCGATGTTTTTAAGAGTCTGGACTCTAGATCCAATGTGTTTTTTTTTCCAGTGAGGTCGGACAAAATTTGGAAACTTTAAACGCTTGTAACTTCATTTATTCAAAACTTTGAGGTTCTGAAAGTGTTTTCTTCGGTTTTCTCGTAAAATTATCTTCCAGAACCACCCCTTAAATTTTAAAATGTGACGAAATAAACATAAAAATTTGCAGTTACAGTAAAAAATGTTATGTCCGACTTCTCTGATTGACTCGATCCACTGTGCGTCGCCGTCGCGTCGCGTTCCTCCGTCGCCCACACGGATGGCCGATCTCCGCACAGTGAAATTCCGTCTTGGCTCGATGGCACTCAAATGATGGTATCTCTCCAAGAGCCTCCTAGAGTTTCCAGCGGTCTGGAAAACTTTGGATGAGTCAGTTGCGTTAGTCAAAGAATCGTGTTTTGATCATCTACACTCATAGATTAATAAAAATTAATAAGATATGCTCAAACATCAAGTTTCTACATCCAAAATTAATGGAGGTGTCGGTATCGCTCAGAGATAAACTCAGCATATTACCGTGTTAAGGAAAAACGCCGTACGAACCTACAGGCGTTGCCAAATTTCCTCGGATAAAATACGAATTTCATGGTAAACTTATGAATATTTTTCCTCCATTAGCTAATTTTGCTCGCAATTTTACCCGAAGTTCCTGAAAAGTTTAAGGAAAAACATTCATAACTTTCCTAAAAAATGGACTTTTTATCGGAAAAAATTTGGCAACTCTCGAATGTCGATACGACGTTCTTCCTTATTCGCACGGCAGCATAGAACGTCATCCTCTGCGGCAGGGCATACTGCCGTGCTAAGGAAAAACGCCGTATGAACCTTCAGGCGTTGCCAAATTTCCTTCGATAAAACACGAATTTCCTGGTGAAATTATGAATATTTTCCTAGGGATTTTTCAGATAATTTTGGGCGCAATTTCACCTAAAGTACCTGAACATTTCGAGGAACATTATTCATAAATTTCCTTAAAAATAAACATTTTATTGAAGGAAATATGGCAACTCTCGAATTTTCATAAGGTGTTCTTCCTTAGCAAGGCAGCATACCGTAGCATCTTCCACAGCCTTGTTTGAACCAATGAAGCATTAAACCGGAGCTAGGCAAAGGGAACGCGAGTTTGAAAGTGACCCTCTATGTTTCTAGCTTTTCGTTAAAGTCTCCTTGAAAGCCCCTCTCATCCTGCCCAAGTACATACAAGCGAAATACAAATCATTGAGTTATACTGACTGAAAACAGTCTAAAGAAATGAGAACTTGAAAGTGATCTTTGTGTTTCTAGCTGTGAGTTAAAGTCTCTTTGGGTGTCCCTCTTGCGCTGCTCTTGTCCGTTTCAGAATGCGTATATAGTAACATTGAGAGCACAGCTAATCGGGAGATGCAACTTAATAAACTTCAGCGAAGGGTAAAGTTGCATCACCAAATTTGAAGGTGAACTAGCAGCGATTTCGTTTTCAAGAGATGTGACGCGACTTGGCGCGGCGTCGCGCGGCGCCACCGGTGAGTTAAGCAGCGAGTGCCTGGACTCCTGGAGAGTCAAAACTCCTTCAATTCCGTGCGTATGCAACACAGACATCCTAAAAGCCCGAATAGTTGCATCAAGGCGTTACACGAAATTTGCCTTGTGTTCTCCGCATGCGATACTAAGTCGACAGCTCAGCTCGTTTCTTTTACACCTTAACCTAATTCCAGCGTTGCCTGTTGTGCCGATGAAGTGAAAAATTATTGATTTTCATCGCGACCTTCTGCATTCTTCGAAAAATGCTTTGATCGTTGAAACGTATTACTGCGTTCGCGCTTTTGTGGTTTGCAATTCTGAACATTTGCGCGTTTGGAATTTTACCGTTGTAGGAGGTTGGTTTTGGTTAATGCATCTATTTAGCGAAGAAAAGAAGTATGTTTTCGGAAAAAGTTTTGGAAATTTTCAAAAAACGCAAGCATAAAAAAGTTCCGTGTAAATTTTAATGAGCTATGAAATTAGGTGGAGAAGAGAAAGAGGGATATGAAATGAAAAAAGAATTGAAACCCACCAAATTTGCAGGTCCGTCTTGAGATTAGAAAAGCATAAAAGGAAATATTGGTGTCTTTTAAAAAATTATTTCATGCCAAGCCTTCAAATCATGTTATCAGATCGTACAAAAGTTGACTTATCGTAATTTGTGCAAATGCCCAATTTTCTGTGAACTTTCGCATGCACATTTTCGCGCAAATGAAAAAAAAAAAAAAAAAAAAAAAAAAAAAAAAAAAAAAAAAAAAACACTATGAAGTGGCCCGAACTGTAAGTAACATGGTGGAGAAAATGTTTTCGCGCAAATGTTCACCAAACGGCAGACGTGTACAAGTTACCTTTAAGTTTTCACCGATTGCTGGACTAATGTCGCATACCGGTTGCTCAGCGGAGCGTTGTTGAAAAGCGCCGGAGTAGAATACAAGGTGGTCGCTGCTGACGGGAGGATCCAGGACAGGGCAAGGGTTAAGCCACGGTTCCACAGGAGGAGAGCAGAGCGAAGTCGCCCACGCGGCAAAGCTGCGCGACCGAGTGCTGTGACTTAAAAGCTGCCGCGTGATCAGAGAGAGCAGCATGGTTCAAATTTTCGAGATCAAGTTTTCTTCAATATTCAAATGATCTATAATTTAAACTACACAACTACGATTTATTTAAGCTGCTGGGTTGATTTACTCCAAACTTCATTTTTGCACCTGCTGCTCTCTTCGATACAATGGCAGTTTGCCTGTTGCCGCCGATATTTGATGACACTAACATCCTTGGCAACGGGCAGGTTGATAAAAATAGAGTCCCTTTATACTGAGAGTCAAGACAACACCCCCTCATGGAGTCACAAACGGGAATAAAGATTACACAAATTGAAAGTTTTTCGTAATCTTTGATCGGCCCATTCTCGAATTCCTTTCTCCGTTCCTTCCCTCATTCCGTTTGTCCATTCCAGATTATAATCTTTGCAATTGGGGAAAATGTAATCTTTATTCCCGTTTGTGACACTGTGGAGGCCTAAAATACGGCAACCAATCAGAAATGGATTCACTTTGTCTTGACTCTCAGTATAAAGGGACTCTATAGATAAAAATCGTGACACCCTGTTGCGCGACCTGATTGCGCGGTTGACTGATTTGCGCGGGCAACTTTGCGTCGCGCGCTTCCTGTGGGAGCGTGGCTTCAGTCTGAGATAGTGCGCTCTGCTCAGAGCTTCGGGAAGATTTAATATTAATGAATAAGCCCGCGCCCTTTGAATACGCAGTCAAAGCTGTAGAGCGCCGGTGCGGCTTCTCTTAGATGCATGCCAGAACTACCGCCATACTGTCATACTCGCTCTGACAGGGCATTCACTGGCTTTGTTTATCCCACCGAAATATGTGTGAGCAGACGGTATGTTTAGCAACAGAGGCAACAGTAAACATAGCTCAGCTGTTTTTTTCTCGGTCACTAATGCTTCTGTGTAGGCGGTGTGCATGAGTATTTGCTTCGAGCGTTTAAAAAAGTGCCTTGTTGTGGTAATATTTATTTGCATAACAGGGAAGTTGTTGGGGTCGAAAAATCTCTGCTCATGGAGCATTTACTACAAAACTTATGTGAACTTCAATGCTGAAGCAGAGTACTTAAATTTCAGAATTATCGCGTGACAAGAGGTCCAAAATCGAGGTGCGAAAATTAATGTAACGTTGCTTTGAAAAACGAAAAACACTGAATTTCCGTTTGATTTCGAATTTCTCGGAGACTTGTAATTACATAAACAGTGCCAGGTCCAATGCAAATTTTAAGCCTCATTACAAGACTAATAATACTTTTGCATGAATTTTTGACTATAATTAAATCATAAGAAGATTCAACACTTGCAACACTTAAGTGAGTTGGGGAACACAAAGGAAATCTTGGAGACTTAAACGCATGCGTATAGAAAAGTAAACCGTTCATGGCGTGACCCCTCCCTCCGTGCAGTCCTGTTGGCCAGAATGGCCATGGTGAAAAACATTTTTTTTCCAACTCTAATGAGTCATGTCGGGGAATACACAGGAAAGCTTGGAGACTTAAACGCAGCGATAGGAAAGTAAACCATTTCATTATGTGACAACTCCATATTCGTCCAATTTCATCGGCCAAATTAGTCATGGAGAAAAATATTTTCTTTTGCAAAAACTTTTAATTCGAACAAAAAGATCTAGGACAAATAATTGAAGAAAAATAAAAAAACTACAATTTCAAAATTTAAAAATTCGTTATTCACGGAAGAAGATACGCAGTAGATCGCGATTTTACTGATAGATAAATATGAAGAGATGAAATTCAGAGTGAAGCTTCCAAAAAACCCCATGATGCCAGAGAAAAGCTTCGTAATATGATTTAAATCACTTAAGTCATGTACGTATGCTCTTTATATGTGACATACAAAATAGCAAATAGTATTGTATCACAAAAAAGTTACGTATCAAGAACATAAGGTGGAACTAAAAACATTATCTAGAGTAAGTAGAAAGAGGCTTTGTTGAAGATCATGAAGCGAGGTATTTGTTATCAGCGCAAGATAATAAA